GGCTCCTTTGAGGGCCTGGCCCTGTCTGACTGCCTATAATATTTCTATCTAACTCAGCTGCCTGTAACATAAAGAGCAACCTTTACAAGGAATATTTGAGGTTAAGGACTACTGCATGACACAACAGTTTGTAATGTTACTTTATTTGAGAACCTGGGAGACAAAAATAAATTGGGGCCAGGCATGGTGGTGTACACCTGTAATCCCAGCACTCGGGAGGCTGAGGCAGGAGGGTCGTTGTGAGTGAAAGACCAGCCCAGGCTACAAAGTGAGCTCAAGGCCAGCCTGAACTGCCTAGTGAGATCCTGTCTCAAAAAGACACACACAAAAAAGGTGGTAATCAGCTGTATAGCTACTAGTAATAGATGCCATTTGTTGGATATTTACTTTGTGCTGGTCGTCGTGTATTGGGGACCTGGCCGAGATCCCCAACTGCCTGCATGAGGATTATGGCGAAAGGATGAAATAAGAAACAGAGGCACATTTAGTAATACACAAAGGGGAGGGTGGGAGGTCCATGCCTCAGGATGGGCAGAGACAAAGAAACTCTAAGCAGCCACTACTGGCTGTCTACAACGATTGGAGGGCTAGTGGAAGGGTCAGGGTCAGCCGCAGTGGGCAGCAGATGATTTGGGATGACTCAAGAAGGATCTTGCCCTGGGGCATTTTTTTAATCTTAGTGGTTTCAGTTTAGTCCTAGTGGGTGGGGGAGGATGGCCCATCCCTGTAAAGAGCTAATGGGAAATCTCAAAAGGGTGATAAGGAAAATCCCAAACCTCCATTTATCGTTTAGGGAAGCATGCAAAATTTGCCTTTGTGAATTTGCGGTCCTCAACAACCATGCTAAGTGCTAAATAGAGTAGCTAGCAAGTTAAAACAATTGCTATTCTTAAATTGTTTTTTGGGTTTTATTTGTTTGTTTGTTTTTTGTCTTTTTTGAGACAGGATCTCGCTATGCAGTTCAGGTTGGCCTTGAGTTGACTTTGCAGCCCAGGCTGGTCTCAAACTTGCAACGATCCTCCTGGGGCTAAATCCCCAGCCCCTTAATGTCCTTTAGAAGCCAGGAAAAGTTGTTTCCTTGCCCTTTAAATTCAGCTTCCCAAGTGCTGGGATTACAGGCATGCGCCACCATGAACGGCTCCTATTCTTAAATTGTTTAAAATCTAAGAAATGAAAAAAAATATTTCTTTCAACTAACATTTATACACTACTTTTGTCACATTTTACTTAATTCTTCTTCTTTTTTTTTTTTTTTTAATTGTGCTGGGAATTGAACTCAGGACCTTGCGCTTGCCAGGCAGGTGCTTATACCACTGAGCTATATATCCCTGGCCTCACATTTTACTTAAGCTACTAACTTTTTTTTTTGTCTTTTGGTCTTTTTTGAAACAGGATCTTGCTATGCAGTTCAGGCTGGCCTTGAGCTAACTTTGTAGCCCAGGCCGGTCTCGAACTCACAACCATCCTCCTGCCTCAGCCTCCCGAGTGCTGGGATTACAGGCATGTGCCACCATGCCTGGCAACTACTAACATTTAACACACTATAGAAAATCTCTGAAGTGTTCTCTATAGGCATTTGTCTCTATTAGCGCATATAAACTGTGTGGGGTGGCCTTTTGAAAAAATGAAATCCGTTGGTGTATACTTTAAACAAAAAATATAATTCAATATTTTATGTAGGTAGGCTTACAATAGAATAGCTTTAAAAAAATCTCAGTATTAATCTTGCATTATTTTTGGCTTTAGGTGGTGACCCTAACAGCTAATGATAAGACAAGTGTTTCCTTCTCCTCCCTGCCGGGACAAGGGGTCATTTATAATGTCATTGTTTGGGACCCGCTCCTAAATACCTCTGCTGCTTACGTTCCTGCCCACACATATGCTTGCAGATTTGAGGCGTCAGAAGGCAGCTGTGCCTCCCTTGGTGAGTATGTGGGTTTAAACATCGTTAGTGTTCTTTGGCTTGGCAGGTCTGTTTCTACTAGCACAGAACGAAGAATGATAAAAGATGCTTCTGCCCGGTGTTCGCGCCTTCTTTTCTACATAGGCCTTTCGAGCCCTTAGCATTCTTCCAGTGTTCTAAGCAGTGAATGTATCGGGGCCTGCCACGCAGAGGAAGCAGCTGGTGTGAAGCCCTGCTCCGAGCCTGCCGTGGGTCTGCAGCAGGGCAGCAAGCACAGCCGGCTGGAGGAGGATGAGAGTCAAAGGGCAGGCAGCTCAGAGTGCAGCCTTGTAGGTCATAATATGGACCTTCGCCTTTGTTCTGAAGGAAGGGGGGTGCTGGGGATGTAGCTCAGCGGCACAGCGCCTGCCTGGCAAGCGCAAGGTCCTGAGTTTGATTCCCAGTACCAAAAAAATAAATAAGTGAAGGAAGTAGAAAGGCATGGGAAGATTTTGAGCAAATAGTGCTATGAGCTGATGCACTTTGATGAGATCACTGGCTGTTTTGGAAGAAAAGACAGGGGCAGGGGCAGAAATAGCAAGCGTGATTAGGAAACCACTGACTTAATCCAGGTGAGAGATGACAGTCATTTATGGAGAGCATGGCCCTGAAGGCATTGTGAGATCTATGTGTGTGTGTTCATGTATCTTGAAAGAGCTCTTCAGAAGAGCTGCAAAAATGACAGAAAGAACTTTTTCATAGTCTTCACCCTGCTCTTATTAGCTCATGTGCTGTTTGCTTTTCATTCTTTCCGTGTACAGACACATGCATACATATGTAATGCTTTTTTAGTCTGAACCATTTGAGAATAAATTGTACAGATGAAGACCTTCTAGTTTTAAATACGTGTGTTTATTCCCTTACGTAATCCTAGGAAGATGATCAAAATCACAAAATTCACATTGACACAGTACTATGACTTAATCTCCTGGTTTTGTCACATTTTACTAGTTGTTCCATTATTAATGTCCTTTTTTTTTTTTTTGGTTTTTTCTCTGGTACCAGGAACCGAACTCACGACCTTACGCTTGCCAGGCAGGCGCTTTTGCCGCTGAGCTAAATCCCCAGCCCCTTAATGTCCTTTAGAAGCCAGGAAAAGTTGTTTCCTTGCCCAAGGTCCAGTTCAAGATCCCACTTTGCTTTTAATTGATACATTTCCATATTCCCTGAGAACCTGGACCAATTCCTCAGTCTGTATTTGTCTTTCAAGAGTTTGATCTTTTTTGAGGAGTACAGGCTATGTATTGAGTTACTTTGATGTTTTCTGGCCTTTAAATTCATGTTTTTTGTAGGAAGACACAAGAAGTGATGGTGGCTATTTCTCATGCAATGTGTCTGTCCACAGCTAGTGGCGATAACTGTGATTACCTGGTTAGTGGTGTCTGACAGTCTTCCCCACCATAAAATCATTGTTTTCCTCTTTAAGTATCTTTCAGGTGATAATTTTGAGTGCTTTTAAATCTTATCCTCAGACTCCTACTTGCTAATTTCTGAACCCAATGATTTTCTTGTTTTGTTTTTTTTTTTTGTCTTTTTGAGACAGGGTCTCACTATGCAGTTCAGGCTGGGCTTGAACTCACTTTGTAGCCCAGGCTGGCCTCTAACTCGAATTCTCAAGATCCTCCTGCCTCAGCCTCCTGAGTGCCAGGATTACAGGCATGTGCTACCACACCCAATTTGAACCCAGTGATCTTGGCCTGAAACATTTATTATTAGGTGGTTACCAAATGGCATTTTTCTGCTTTTGTCCCAGAGTGGGCTACATTTGGCCAATGAGTGGCTGAGTATATTCTGAAATAGGGTATGGTGATGGGTTGGGTGGGGATTTGGGGAAAAGTGGTGGAAAGGATGACTTTGTAGTTTTCTGGCCTGAGCAAGTAGAGACAGAGCTTCTACTCACCGAAGGGGGAAAGACCCAGGAGCAGGTTTGGGAAATACATACCTAGAGTTCAGTTTCAAGAGCCCTGTTAAGCATTCAAATGGAGATGTTCCTTTGATAAGTGGTTATATGTATCAGATGGAATTCAAGGGAAGGTCTGGGTTAGAGATGATCTTGGAAGTCATCAGACTAAATATGTGGCATCAGTAGCCATAGCCTGCTGGTTTCATTGGTGGAATGAGTACGTATTAAAGGGAAGGGGTTCCGGGAGTGCGCCCTGAGGGGTTCTGTGTGTATGGAGCTCAGGACATTGAAGAAGATCCTGCAGAGGTACTTGGGAAAGAGCAGCAGAAGTGGCAAATAGCAAGCTGGATTTTTGCTTATTTGGTTTGGTTTTTAGAAGTGCTGGTTGTCAGACTTGGGGCCTTGCATATGCTAGTCTAGGGCTCTAGCACTGAGCTACACCCTCACTTGATGTTTTTTGAAGGCAGTAGGAGAAAGTATTTCAAGGAAGGTGGAGTTGAGTGATCAGCGGTGTCAGATACTGCACAGGGGTCAGCTAAGAGACTGAGAAGTAACCACCGGTGTCAGCATCAGGGAGGCCCTGGTACTAGACAGAGCTGTCGCAGCGGAGTGGTATTTGCGCAGAACAAACAGGACAGAAACTAGAGAAGGAATTCAGATAGCTCTTTCAAGGAGTTCTGCTCTAAGAGGGAAGCCTATCAGATGCGCTGGTGCCAGGGATTAGGGTTCTCTCCCTCTGTAGAGCTGGGTCCCAGTGTTTAGGAAAAGAAAAACTGGTGACACTTGTTAAAACACAGCAAGGGCCGGGCGTGGTGGCACGTGCCTGTAACCCCAGCACTCAGGAGGCTGAGGCAGGAGGATTGTTGCAAGTTCGAGACAGGCCTGGGCTACAAAGTGAGCTCAAGGCCAGCCTGAACTGCCCAGCGAGACCCTGTCTCAAACAGACAAAAAGAATTAAAAAATAAAACACAACAAAGAAGACTTGACTCAAGGGGAGGGGCATTGCAATAGGGATAGGGACTGCTGCAGTGGGATTTTGCAATGGGGAAGAGAGTACACTCAGCTTCCAATACAGCATGGGAAGGGCGGGATCGATGGGTGGAAAATTACTCAGAGGACATGAGGGGCACAGATGATTCTGTCTAAACTGAACGAACAGGATTCTGCTGAAGACAGTCCAGGGTGGTGAGACACCACTTATGGGACGGTACAGGATGAGAAACATGATCAGATATGGTGGGTGATCAGATAATGGGGCAGGAGCCCTTGCTAATCTGATAGATCAGATTTTGCTGAAACTGAGTTTTACCCGGATGTGCACAGCACTCTGAGAGGGTTCAGGAGCCTGACCAAAGTGTGGTCATGCAAAGACTCTGTTACCGCCCACTCTTCAGATCCTTCGGAAGTGTAATGCAAGAGACCCAGGCAGATACAAGCGTGTTTTTCTTTTTCATAGTATGGGGGCTTGAAACCAGGGCCTTCACACTGAGCTACCTCCCCAGCTTCTTCTCTATTTTTTGTTTTTTATTTTGAAACAGGATGTCACTGAGTCTCTAAGTTGCCCAGGCTGGCCTCAAACTTGGGATCCTCCTGCCTCAGCCTCCTGAGTGCTGGTATTATAGGTGTATGTCACCATGCCCGGCTTCCACATTGCCTTCTGTCTTTGTCACTTTTTTATCACTGGGGCAAATACCTGGCACCCACAGTTTAAAGGAGGAAAGGTTTATTTTGGCTCATGTTTCAGTTGGCTGGCTCCAAGGTGAGATAGAATGGCTGAGGGAAGCTGCTCATGGAAGGGCAGGAGCGAAGCAGGGAGCAAAGGGAGAAGTGGGAGAGGGACATAAATCTTTCCAGGCTAATCCTGGGTGACCACCCTCTTCTGACCAGACCTCAACCCCTCACAGCAAGTGAGCTGAAAGCACCAGTAATCCAGTCACCCGCTTTGGGCACATGAGGCTTTGGAGGGACAGCTAGATGTATGTAATAGCACATTTCTTTTTT